CCCTACCTCGGCCTGCCCCCCGCAGTCCCGGCTTGGCGCATCACGGCTGCCCCGCCCAAGGGGCCACCAGGCCGGCCACCGCCTCCTTCTAGAACCCGGCCCGCATCCCCAACCCGCGCCTCCATCCCGGCCCCTCACCCTCAGACCCTACCTCCCGGTCGGGCCCGTATCACCCCAGCGCCGTGGGCACGGCTGGCGGAGGAGCCGCCGCGCGTCCCAGGCGCCGGAGCCCCAAGAATCCCCACGCACGCCGCCGACCGGCCGAGCCCCGGCTGAGGCTGAGGCGGGGCCTGCGCGGCCGGCGAGCCCCGCGCCTGGGCGGGGCCGGGAAGGTGCGAGAGGACGGTGGGCGGGGCGAGGCTCGGGGCGGGGCCGTGAAAGGCGGTGGGCGGGACCGAGGCTGAGGCGGGGCCGGGGAAGGTGCGAGGAACGGTGGGCGGGGCGGGGCGAGGCTCGGGGCGGGGCGGGGCCGTGAAAGGCGGTAGGCGGGACCGAGGCTGAGGCGGGGCATTGGGGATGCGGTGGGCGGGACCCAGGCTGAGGCGGGGCCTGTGGCGGCCGGCGAGCCCCGCGCCTGGGCGGGGCCAGGGTAAGGTGCGAGAGCGGTGGGCGGGGCTAGGGGCGGGGCGGGGCCGGGGATGGTACTCGGGTCGAGGCGTGGCTGATGACGGAGATAGGCGGGGCAACAAGGCGTGAGGGTTGGCTGGTATAAATTGGAAAGCCAGGTGTCCAGTGCACGGGGTGTATTGTGTGCCCTGAGGTGATCTGCAGGCTTGCAAAGCCCCGCTCTGAGATGGGAGTCGGGAACCGGAATTGGGTGACTGCCCCTCGCACTGTAGCAAATTGTAAGCATATGTCTGAGAGTTGGTAGAAAACAAAATTTCAAAAAATGTTTGGGGGTTAAAAGTGGAATTCATAGGAGAGGGGCTTCTTCACAAAGTTCAAGGAACGTATTGTGTCATAAAAAAATCTACGCGTGGGATCTTAAAACAAGCCTCCCCTCCCCCAGCTTTCTGAAGGTGGCTGGTCGCCTGCAGGCCCAGAGCACAGGAGCAGCACCGGTCGACCCTATGTGCTGGCTGCCGCTCACGGCTGCGCCTGCTGGGCGGAACACTGGCTCTGTGTGCACTTGTGGCCCAGGGGCAGGTGCATCCTGGCAGTCGTATTTACTGCTCTGTCATGTTCCCTCCGGTGCTACAGCTCGGTGTCTGCATCATGACCTCTTCGGCTATCTAGGTTGTGCCCAGGATTCTTCCGTCACAAACACTCCCTGTGGTTAGGATGATATTCCCCCGTAGATGCTGTAGGTGAAAAGTATAAGGTGCATGACAGGTGCAGTGTCCCAATTCTTTTTTTTTTAGGCCATCCTGGACTGCTTTCCCAGACCACAAGCAAGATGGGAAGCAGGGCCATTGGGATTGGAACCGGTGCCTCTAACGGATCCCGGTGCGAGCAAGGCGAGAACTTTAGCAGCTAGGCTACCGTGCCAGACCCTAAAATAAATAAATCTTTAAAAATGTTTCCCAGGGGCCTGGTGCAGTGGCCTAGTGGCAAAAGTCCTCACCTTTAGCTCGCCAGGATCCCATATGGGTACTGGTTCTAATCGTGGCGGCCTCGCTTCCCATCCAGCTCCCTGCTTGCTACCTGGGAAAGCAGTCAAGGATGGCCCAAAGCCTTGGGACCCTGCACCTGCGTGGGAGACCCGGAGGAAGTTCCTGGCTCCTGGCTTCAGATCAGCATAGCACCGGCCGTTGTGGTCACTTGGGGAGTGAATCAGTGATGTAAGATCATCTTCTCTGTCTCTTTCTCTCTTTATATCTGGCTTTGCAATAGAAATATATAACACAATAAGATTTTATAAAACATGCAGAGGTAAAAATGCTAACAAGCACTGGCATGAACACAGTGGACACGGGCTCCGCCGGGGGCTGCAGGCTGGTGGCCAGCCCCCTGCCCCTCGTCAGACGGAGCTGAAACCCTGAAGTGCATGTGGGGTTTCCACTTCCCTGCTTTCACTTGGAATTTACACTCCACTCAAAATATCCTGAAACAACACAGCTTTGTGACAAGTGACAGAACAACCATTCCAGCGGTAGCCCTACCCACGAGCAAGGCTCCAGGGGAGCTGTGTTTGGGGAGTGTCCTGGGGGTGGGTCCTGGACTCAGCCCTGGCCTGTCCCCGGGAAGTCCAGGCAGCCCTGCGGCTGCGAGAGGCCCACTCCTGGGCGTGGTTCTGTCTCTGTGCATGGTTGGCCCTGAACTGTCCTTCGAGCCCCACACGGTTGAGGCTGAGCTCCCCTTTGTGGCCTGCACGAAGATGCGTGTCCGCGGTGCGTTCTTCCTGAGCATATTGACCACAGGCACCGGGAGAAGAGCTGGGGCCTGGGTTTCCGCGTGGTATGGACAAGAATCCCAGCCTTTCTTTGCCAGTGCCCAGGGCACTCCCGGGTGGGCATGGAAGCCTCGGACTGAGCTGCATCGGGCCCAGCCGGCCCCCAGGGGCTGCAGTGGCCCCGTTGGTTGGTCCTAGCCATCGGTCACACTCCCCGCCTCAGCCAGCACAGCCTCCAGGAGCGTGGCTTCCCTCCACCTGGCGAGGACACCTGCGGGGCCCCAGCCTCCGCCATCCTTCCCGGTGCCTCTGCTTGAGGCCATTTTTGTTTTTTCCTCGGTCTGACAAATAAAAATCAATTAATTAAAAAGGAGTCAGCCTGAATCACGTACCCCCAAGGGGCTTCCTCCTTATCTTCACTATGAGTGTGACTTGGCAGTTAAAGGACCTGGCAAAGCTGCACGTGCAAGTGAGACCCAGCGGCGACGGGCGGCTCAGGCCAAGGGCGGGAAGCTGCTCTGTAAGCCTTGAGTCACACACGTATGCATGTTATAGGCGCATGCTCTCTAGAATTGTACACACACTGGGAAAAGAGCTTTCTAGAAGGTCCTGTAAAAAAGAAGACAAACATATTAAAACAATGCCACATTGCATTGTGAGATTTTCACCTACTGTTAACCAGCAAAATGGGATTGAGTCAGACCTATAGGGCCAGCCGACAGACAACAGTGCCCGAGAGAATCGGATGAGGCTGTGGGGAGGCTGTGCGAGCAGCCTGATCAGTCAGTGCTCGCAGGAGTCTGCACGGCTGGGGCCTGCCTTGCTGGAGGTGAGCCCGGGCTGCCTGGTGGAGAGAGCAGTACTGAATGCCCCTGCTCACTGGTTCCCAGGCACCTCTGTCCCCACTTCTCTCTCACCATGGGGAGCCTTCAGGCCAGCAGCTGGGGGACAGTCCCAAAGCCTGAGCCAGAGCCATGGGCAGGCCAACAGCCAGGGCTGTGGTGGGGGGTCTGTGGCCTGCATCTTTGTGGAGCCACGGTCCAGGAATGAGAAGCTGGGATCAGGAAGGTTCCTGACTAGGACAGCCCTGGATCTGACTAGGATGCTTGAGGACGCAGGAGAAACATGTCTTTGGGCAGTCTCTGAGTTGCTGGTTCTCTCTGCCAGGATTTCCAGGCAAACTAACCTTTACTCCCCACGGGGCCCGGCCTGGGCCAGCAGGTGAACCAGTCTTCCCCACAAGAGGGAGCTGTACTTGCCCCAGGCCTGTGGGCCTCTGCTCCACGCTCTCAGTCCTCTGGCCCACAGCAGACACTAGTACCCTTCTGAGGACAGTTCTGTCCTGGTCACAGGAGCCACGCTGGAGTGTCTGCATCAGCAGGGTCAGGAGGGGAGGTGGCCACACAAGGGGGCATAGGAAATGGCAAGGGGGGTGCGCCAGCGTGGCACAGTTGAGGTTCTGCAGGGGAAGAGGTAGGTGAGACGGTGGCTAGTCCTGGGCTGTCAGGCACTGCTGATGCATGCAGAAGCTTGGGTCTCCAAGGGCCTCTCACTAAGATTGTATTGGTTGCAAGAGTTTCTGGAACTAGAATGAGCTTTCTCACATGGGCTGGCGGAGGAGACCCCGAAACATCCCTACAAGAAATTAAAGAACTCCTCACATCTTAGAGCTGATTGAATTTACGTTTTACTTTTAAAAAAGGGGGAGGGTGTGGGAGGAAAATACATTACTGAGGGAGCCGTGATGGGGACGGATTCTGTGACTTCCCCTGCGGTGGCGGCCGCAGTCTGGGGGCAGACTCCCTGCCGCGCACGCCAGCGCTGGCTTACAATGTTCAACAAGGCTGTGGACAAGGGTGCTGCCCAGTCTGAGAACAGGCAGGAAGTGTGTTATCATATACAGCGCAGGTTTACAACACGTGGCATTTTCTTTAAATGATGTAATGCAGGCACGGGAAGAAGTTAACAATACTAACACACACAAAAAAAATCAAAGTTTGGTTTGTTATCCATGTACAGCAACTAAATGCTTTACAAAAAAAGCAAAATAATACAATATATCATCACATGTATTTACAGTGTAGTAAATATACTTTTCTGTTAAATTTTACACAAACTATGTACAGGTGAATATGCTGCATTAAAAAAATTGGAGTGGCTGACGCTAAGTGAACTGTTAAGTCCATCGCATAACATTGAAGGAAACATGCCTCATTATGCCTGGGACCAGGGGTATAGAAATAAACCTGGAAACAAACAAACAGAAAGCCAGAGTGACCCTGAAAACCATTCTGGCTTATATGCCCGGGGGTTGGGGGTGGCTGCTGGCTGCTTCCACCATGCCCCCACTGGGCCATCTGCATGTATGTTGGAAGCCAGCTGCTTGCTGTGGTATCCGCAGCACCTGGTTTACTTGGGAACTAGTGTGTGGCTGCAGGACACAGCATATGCCACTGTCCCCCAAGTGGTGTCTTCCTGTTGACACCTGGGGATACACCCTGCTGCAGCCAGGAGTGCCGGTGGGCGTGGTAGGTGCAGGTATCTGTTACCTGTACGACAGGGTGGCGGACTCCCTGCTGTCCTCTTTCAAAAACTCCAGGGAGTTCTCGAACCAATCACTGCTGATGTTTTCCATAGAACTGACAGCTAATGATGCTGAAATGGGCAGCCTGTGCTGAACATCAGAAAGCTCTGCAGCTTGTAGGGGTGAGCTTGGAGAAATGTGTTGGTTAGAGACCTCCACTTGTTCCAGCTACGGGGAAAGCCAGAGATTCCTCACGAGGCAGAAGTTGTCTGGCCAAGGCCACCATTGAGCCCCTGATATGCTGGGCCGGGCTGAAGCGCTGACATGCCTCCCTTGCATCTGTGCAAGGCTGACCATTTGTGGAGTGCTGCAGTGGAGTCAGCCTGCCCATCCCATGAGCCATGGGAGAGGCACTGCATCTCGATCAATCTGTGTGTGGAAATCTAACTGTGAACATTTGGAAGTGTATCTGTTTGGATAGGAAGAGCACAACAGTGTAACACCCACCATTATATGCACCAAACCAACAGAGGGAAAACTATGGAATCACAATGGTCCAGGGCTCCTGCCACCTGCTGTCAGCAGGGGGCACTGCTGCCAGAGCAGCAGGGGCAAGAGGGCCAAGACCACCACAGAGTGGCATCCTTGGCACTGGGCTATGTATCTATTTCTAAACCCAATTCTAAGCTTCTGCTATTAAGAATGTTTTATGCTAACGCAGCCTCTAAGAGTTAAAAACAAAAGTTTATTTAATTGCACCTGTCTTCAAAGATTTTTTTCCAACAATTCTACGTTAAAATCACTATTAATACTAAGGATTTTTTTTCCCTTTTATTTTGGCAAATGGTTCTTACTTTTCCCAGGACTGTAAACAAATTAAAAAAAATTCTTGTTATTTCTGAATAAAAAAGCAATTTTATTTACATTAACATATTACATTGTTATTGTGTGGATAAACGTGAGATGTGTTATATTATTAGAATCAGAACACTTAAATGTACCATTATTTATTGAGTTAGCTGTGGAATTTAATTTACTGAAATCCACTAATGAAACAACACTACAGGAAACTCCGCTCTCCCCTAAGTTTTTCCCCCTCCCAAAACCATTATATCTCAACATGTAAGAGGAACGTGGGAGTGGGGGAGAGATAATATTTTTTTTAATAATAAATATGGTTTAGTCCTAAATTGGAACATCCAGATACTAATATGCTCACTGAAATCAGGTTACTTTGCATACTGCATGTACCACGAAGAAATTGGATCTGCACTGCTGCGGAAAGTCCCATGCCATGAGAGCGCAGGCAGGCCATCCTGCACAGCCGCAGGTCTCACGCTGGGCCTCCCGTTGTCATACTCCGCAGGCCGACCGGTCTTTTCACAGTGATTAAATGCAATTCTATCATATAGAACCCAAATGTTTCCATACAGAGATTCCTGATTTTTTAAAGAGGAGTGGGAGAAGATTAAAAGATATTTAAAATACATCTTATCAAAAATTTTATGATAATATACACCATTCTCTATGTTTGTTGGGAAACTATTTAACAAAATGAACATATCAGCTACTCTAAAAGTCACGTACCATTCCATTTTGCTATGGAGCTAATGTAGATATCCATGAAAAACTACCTTCTGGAAATAATTTCCAATGCTTTGTTCACTGATTACCCTGCTCAGAATTATTTAGGAAAGGAGAGGAAGTGGGTAAGATGTATAATTACTATACTTAGTATAGTTTTGGCTTAAAAATAAACAAATTAAAAAAAACTGACCTTTAGCATATTTAAACATTAAAAGAGAATCAACTGGAGAAGAAAATATAGTTTGGATGACTGAGATTGGATAAGGCCTCAGAACCCATAGCTTTAATGAAGCAATGTTAATATATGTGGCCTTGCTTATTTTTCCTGTAATTATTGCTAATACTCAAGTGTTAGTATTGAAGAATCTACTACAAAATGTTAGATCCCTCCCACCCTCCACAAAGTACCTGGCCTGTGGCTTTAGGATATGAAGTCACTGAGGCTTGACCCCTGTGGTTCCTTCAGTTTTGTAAGGTGGAAAAAAAAAAAAAAAAAAGGCCCAGTGCAGTAGCCTAGAGGCTAAAGTCCTTGCCTGCTAGGATCCCATAGAGTTGCCAGTTGTATCCTGATGGCCCTGCTTCCCACCCAGCTCCCTGCTTGTGGCCTGGGAAAGCAGTCAAGGACAGCCCAAAGCCATGGGACCCTGCACCCACGTGGGAGACCGGAAGAGACTCTGGGCTCCTGGCTTCGGATCAGCTCAGCTCCAGCCGTTGTGGTCACTTGGGGAGTGAGTCATTGGACGGAAGATCTTCCTCTTTGTCTTTCCTTCTCTTTATATATCTGACTTTGCAATAAAAATAAATAAATCTTTTTTTTTTAAAGGCCACAGCTAAAAGATTCAATGTAATGGGGTTACATTATTTCTCCCAAAGACATCTATCCGAAAAACATGGAAATAAAACTAACACTTTGTAGGCTAAAGAAAGGGCAACATAGAAGGCAGAGCTCTGTGCAAATGGCTTTCATAGCTGGCCAGCTGTGGGGGCAATGAAGAATTCATTTTCTCACCACTGGGATGCTTGCTGTTCAAGTGTCCTGACCTCCCACCGTCTGCAGTTGTTCTGAACATTTGCTTACACCAAATACACACCGGAGCCGGGGCGGGGTGGGAGATGTCAAGAGAAAGCAGCATTAGATGTAGGCGACGCTTCCCAGAGTTGATCATCGGGCAACATGGCAGACTGGCTGGGTCTCTTAAGAACATGAAGTGTAGCATCACGACCTGTGGGGTGGGACAAGGCCAGGGGAGTATCGCCAGGGAGCCCACGCTAAGTCAGGTAGAAAAGAGAAAGCAAGCAGGCGTCACATGATCTTTTTGATGCTGTTGCGTTTGAAACTGCCAGCACTTCTTTGCTTCTGCACTTGGCTTGCGGATCCGTGGCGAGTTCGCCCACTGTTACAGTGGCCGGTTGTGGGGGAGAGTTCGACATTCTCCTTGTCGAGTCCTGCAGGGAGACAAGGCAGCCTGTTATTCTCTCGGGGGCAGGCACACTCCAGGACTGAATCTCACCGCTCAGATCTGAGACACCACCTGGAGAACCGCTGCCGCCTGCCCTACACTCTATGGCTCCAACAGTCACTAGGGCCTGGTTGCACACAAACCTTACATTTTGCTCAGCAACATTGGCCAAGCAGCAGAGAAACAGCTTAAGAGAAGAGACATGTCGCATGGCAAAGCCAGAGGCAGGCAGGCTTGAGCTGAAGAAAGGCCAGCAGCTGCCAGCGAGCAGCGCCTCCCTCCAGAGACCCCAGAAGCTTCCAACAGAGCCAACGACCAGTGCCCATGTCCTCACTTCCCTGTTTGCAGCAGAGCCGACTCTGCAGGTGCCGAGGTACTGATCTTCCCACCAGCTGGCCATTTAGGAGATGGGGTCAGTTGCATGCTGTTTGTCACAGCACCTGTCCCAAAGGAGTCAAGCGGTTTCTGAGAGAACAGCAGCTCCCAAAGGCACACTGCGCAATCTCGGCTTTGCAGCTACAGCAACTCGGGGCACATTTGCCACTCACAGATGTGTTGTTCCTCTTTCAGCAAGGAGACTCAACCTCTACATGCTGGGGCCTACAAGGCATTTTAGGAATCATCTAGTCATCTAAATTTGCAAAACAATTTCACAGGGCTAGCATTGTAGTGTAACCAGTAAAACTGCTACCTGGTAAGCCAGCATCCCATGTGGGTGCTGATTCAAGTCCCAGCTCCTCCACTTCTGATCCAACTCCCTGCCAATGTGAAGGAAGAAGCAGCAGAAGATGGCCCTAGTTAAGTGTTTGGGACCACTGTACCCACATGGGACACCCAGATGACGTCCACAGCTCAGCCCTGGCTGCTGCCACCCTCTGGGAAGTTATCAGTGGATGGAAGATCTCACTGTCTCTGCCTTTTCTCTCTCTGTAACACTTTCAGAATAAACAAATCTTTAGGGCCTGGCATGATGGCGCAGTGGTTTAAGTCCTCACTGTGCACACCCGGGATCCCATATGTGTGCTGGTTGTTACCCCGGCAGCCCCGCTTCCCATCCAGCTTCCTGCCTGTGGCCTGGGAAAGCAGTCGAGGATGGCCCAAGGCTTAGGGACCCTGCACCCGTGTGGGAGATCCGGAAGAGGCTCCTGGCTTCAGATCGGCATAGCATTGGCCATTGCGCTCACTTGGGGAGTGAATCATTGGACGGAAGATCTTCCTCTCTGTCTCACCTCTCTGCATATCTGACTTTCCAAGAAAAATAAAAATAAATCTTAAAAAAAAAAACCCAACAAATCTTTAAAAAAATTAAGAGGGCTAGTGTCATGGAGCTGCAGGTTAAGTCTCTGCAGACATCCTGTATCACGGAGTCAGATGTTGTCCCAGTTTTGCTACTTCCCATCCAGCTCCAGGTGCACTAAGAGGCAGAAAACATCCCGAGTGTTTGGGTCCCTGACGTCCATGTGGGAGGTCCGAATGGAATGCTGGGTTCCTGACCTCACCTGGCCACTGGGACTGAGGTAGGGAATAAGGTCTCTTTCTCCCTCTCTATCACAGTAGCTTCAAATACATTAATTTAAAGATCAACAGGTAACGAAGGATTACAGATCAGAAAGGTAGCAGGACAGTGGTCTGCCCAGGGAACGAGTGCAGGAAAGGGTGGGGGGCTTCTTAGGGTGCTACCCTGGCTGTCTCTGTTTCCTGATCTGAGGGGTGGACTTCAGAATGTGTTTACTTCTTAAAGGTCACTAACGTGCAAGTTTAAGATCTGTTTACTTTTCTGCTGTTACACTTCAATAAAATCTGGCCTTAAAGGAGACTAACTGTGCCCACTTCTGGTGAGAGAACAGAATGCTGGAGGGCACTGCTGTGGTTTCCAGCCACATATGAACTCTTAACTAATATTTACTGATCAGAGAAGATGACCGCTGCTTCTGGAAGAGGAAAAAAGAAATATACATATGGTAGGGGAAAGGCTGAAAAAGCATTTGCCAAAATAGGTTCTCTCTGAATACTGTTATTTTACTGTATTCTTATCTGTCTCCTCTGAATTTTAAAATCACTATTTCAGAATGCAAAAATTTCTCTTTTGGAGTAAAAAAGCAGCATTTCAGGACCAGAGGAGTTCATTACATTACAGAAGATGTGCAGATACCTGACTAGCCATTGGCTGGCCTATGTACAGCACTGAGTTTGGGATTGTCTGCATTTTGGAGCCACAGGGCCTTCATCTGGACCAGCCCCGATTGGCCTGGGAGGCCTGTTCACAGACTGCCTTTGCTCGCATGTTACGCAAAGGCGCCTTGGGCTGGGCACAGGAGTGCAGCAGCAGAGCCATCACTAACACCTCTCCAGGAGCTGGTACCAACATTCTCATTTGTAGGAAGAGGAATTGGGGTAAACACACCACAAGGCACAGACTTTTCTTCTGGGCAAAAGGATTTTAGACCGTTTTTACTCTCTTCTATATGGCATGCACTCCTTCTCCAGATTTATTTAAAACATACAGAGGAAGGAGGCACCAGATCTCCGGGAGGGGCCTTGGGCTTCCTTGTGATGCATGCATCTCTTGCTTCTCTATGAGTCATCCTGGGTCCTGCCAGCTTTCTTGCTTGCTGTCACCATCTGAGGACTCCATGTGTTACCACACCTTGCTTTGCCTACTGGAGGACAAGCACCTAGAGGGGTAAGGAGAACTTGTTATTCACTCTCCTATAAAATCTGATTATTTTCTTTTTTTAATTTTTTATTTATTTTTTTTAAAGATTTATTTTTATTATTTTCTTATTGGAAAGGCGGATATACAGAGAGGAGAGACAGAGAGGAAGATCTTCCGTCCGATGAGTCACTCCCCAAGTGAGCACAACGGCCGATGCTATGCCGATCCGAAGCCAGGAGACTCCTCCGGGTCTCCCACGCAGGCGCAGGGTCCCTAAGCCTTGGGCCGTCCTAGGCTGCTTTCCCGGGCCACATGCAGGGAGCTGGAAGGGAAGCGGGGCTGCCGGGATTAGAACCGGCTCCCACATGGGATCCCGGGCGTGCAAGGCGAGAACCTTAACCACTTGCGCCACCGCGCCGGGCCCAAAATCTGATTATTTTCAACAAATACTGGTTGAACTGCTGGCTTCCATTTTAAATCATAACAGCTAGGTCCCTCTAATTCAGAGCCCAATGCATATAATCCCTGACCTCTGGGGGCTAGGGACACACACACACACACACACACACACACACACACACACCCTGAAATCTTTCTCCCCTTTGGCTTTCTTTGTCTGAAATGAAGAACCTGTCAGTATATTAGACCTTCCATTTCCCCAAACCTGCACATTTCAATCTAATGGCTTCTTGAGGGCATGTGGAGCGCAGAGGTCCTCATCCCACACACAGGGCCAGTGTTTCCCACTCCAGATTCCCACTCCTGTGTCTCCTGCAAGACAGCAGGTGATGGCTTATGCATTCAGGTCCCCGTCCCTTACATGGGAGACCCAGCCTTGTCTGTTCTAGCATACAAAAGATCTTTCTGGCTTTTAAGTAAAAGGAACATTTAGGAAAGCTTAATAAAAAGTTAAAGAATGCCTAAAGCATTCCTTGGCCACCAGGAGGGGCTCCCATTCTCTTCAATCCCCAGGAGGGCCCTGTGGCCCCAGGCCAGCCATCTGGGCTCCCTTGGGTATCTACCTCTAACAGCCTCACAGTTTCTGGACCAGCTCATGCTGAGAAACAATCACTACAAGCAAGGTGCCAGAGGTTTCTTTCTGGGCACAAGGACCTACTCAGTGGTGCTATTTTTTTTTTCTTAAAGATTAAATTAGTTATTTGAAATTCAGAGTTAGAAAGAGAATCAGAGATATATATGGAGAAAGAGAGAGAGAGATTGAGAGAGAGAGAGAGAAAGAGAGCACACTCTTCCATCTGCTGGTTCTCTCCCCTAGATAGCTATTAGCAGCCAGAGGGGTTGGAGGACTAAAGCCAGGGGTTTTACCCTGGTCTCCCACATGAGTGCAAGGGCCCAAGCACTTGAATCATCTTCTGCTGCTTTTCTCAGGCCATTAGCAGGGGGTTGTATGGGAAGTAGAACAGCCTAGACACGAATTGATACCCATATGGATGCCAGCATCACAGGCTTTACCCACTATGCCACAATGTGGGTTCCCTCAGTGGTATTCTTTTTTTTTTTTTAATTGGAAAGTCAGATATACATAGAGGAGGAGAGACAGAGAGGAAGATCTTCCATCCGATGATTCACTCCCCAAGTGAGCGCAACGGCCGATGCTATGCCGATCTGAAGCCAGGATCCAGGAACTTCTTCTGGGTATCCCACACGGGTGCAGGGTGCAGGGTCCCAAAGTCTTGAGCTGTCCTCGAGTGCTTTCCCAGGCCACAAGCAGGGAGCTGGATGGGAAGTGGGGCTGCCAGGATTAGAACCGGCATCCATATGGGATCCCGGGGCGTTCAAGGCGAGGACTTTAGCTGCCAGGCCACGCCGTCGGGCCCCCTCAGTGGTATTCTTAAAAAATAAAATTATCTACAAATTGGGATGGGTGTTTGGCACAGCAGTTAAACCCTGGCTGGGACACCTGCATCTCATATCAGAGTATGCAGATTCCAGCCTAGGCTCTGTAGCTTCTTGCTACAGTGCACCCTGGGAGGCAGAGGCGACAGTGCAAGCAGCTGGGCCCCTTGCACCCATGCAGGTCTAGATTCAGCTCCTGGGTCTAGGCTTCAGCCCAGCCTAGCCTAGCCTAACCCTGGCTGTTTGTAGCATCTGGGGACTGAGTCAGTTCATGGGAACTCTTTCTGTTTGACTCCTTGTTTCTCTGCCTTTCAAATTAAAGAACTAATGGAAAAAAAATTTTAAAAATTATTCAAATTAGACTGTCACTAAATGCTAGCACTAAAAATATTTTACTGTTTTGTTATGTCAATACCTTTCAACTTCAAAATTTTAGAAATCTTACTTACTTCCTCTTAAGTGTTAATTATAAA